TTCTCGAGTCCGTTCCGCAGGAAGACGGCGAAGGGGACATTTAAATACTTGATAGTTATATTTATAGTTCTTATTTCGAGTATCTTTTTTAGTTAGTTTGTTCCTTTATGTTTTGAGTACGTTTTGGTTATTGTGTAAGGGATGTTAATCAAAATTTTTATTACGATTCGGCATTTGAGATTTTAATACATACATTTCATTTAAATTTCCGGAGCCGTTACATATTTAACAATAAATAATATTTTTTTATTTATTTCAAATTTAAATTTATAAAAAAAAATACATTGTTCATTTCAAATAAACCATTAAACAAATAATAAAAAGAATAAAAAATGGTTCTTTTAATGGACCATAATAAGGCATGGTGGTCTCAATTATACCCTACTAGTTTTGTGGGTCAAAGGGCAAATGCAATTAATGAGTTACATGGAAAATTAATAATTATGTTTTCACAAAGATAATATTATAATCAATGTTGCATTATATTAGCACACGTCACATCAAAATATAATTTTTTTAAAAAATATTCACACTATATTTTGTCAATTACTAGTCGTCATTATTATTTTTAAATTATGTTATTAATAACATGGGTAAACTTGACTTGTTAGTAATTATAGTTATTATATAACAAATTCATTTCCGTATTTAAATGTAACAATTGATATTAGGTAGACAATTTAAAAATAATATATCATATAATTTTTGGTCCAATTTTTAGAATTGAATTATTTATTTTTTGTATAAAAAAATTATAGCCGTGGGTCCCAAGACAGTAACCCTAATTTTGTTTTAAATGGATAGAAGCCCTAGTTGGATCCAAAAGAGATTAAGATACCCAAACCAAATCTGGTCAAATCACAATCCCATGCAAATGCAATTGTAAATTAGTAACTTACTAAATTAAAAATAAATTATTAATTATATTTAAAAGAAAAAAAAAATTATTTGCCCAACCGATCATTTTACTATCCGCCCACCACCACTCAGAGATCAAACTGTTAAAAAACAGACGGTTCGTTCCTGCACCAAGCAAAATCGTAACTGGCGATATCAATTTCCACAACTACCGAAACGACACCAGTGTATATTTTTTGGCGCGAAATACGCGAAAACGACAATCCATGTTCGCGCGTAGATACATGAAACGACACCTTTGTTACCATAAAAGGACACCTTTATTAAAAGAAAAAAAGAATCCAACTCTGCCTTTTCTATTATCTGGGTACTCGTCCTCCTTATCAATTTCTCATTTTTATCTTTACGACACTCTGATTTTTACTTTGTTTTCGGAAAAATTTCAGTTTTTTTTCTTTTTTATATAACCGACCAACTTTTTTGCGTGTTAAAATTTGCTAAATTTGAAGTATTGCCTTACCCTTTTGACCATTTTCATTAATTATACGGCTGACTGGACTTGTCCTTTTCAATTTGTGGGCTCTTGTCTCTTCTTACTTGAATTATAAGCAAAACAGAGAGAATCATCTGAATCATTTTCCTCCAGATTGAGAATTTAATACAGATTTCATGGAGTGTATATGGAAAAATCAAATCATGAGCATATAAAGAAACCCCAGTTGCAGATCTATTAATGAAGGTCAGATTTTATTTCTTTTATTGATTCAGGATATGGGTTTTCTTTTCTTTCCTTTTCCCTTATTGGGTTGTTTAATATTTATTTTCTGATTGTTTGGTATTTTTTTCATGGGTGGGTTTTTTATTCTTGCTTGTGATATTCTCAAAGTGGGATTTTGTTTATTAAGGTGGAGTTAATTTAATGGTGGTTTTTTCTTTAAAAAAAAAAACTGTAGTGGCTACCAGAATGATATTGTCTTGTTTTTGTTTTGAAATAAAATTGAAAAGTTATGGTCAATACTTGTTTGGTTTATCATCCATTTTGCTTTGCACTTTACACTTTGTTCTCATGCTGTTCTAATCATTTCTTGCCAAAAGTTGCTGTTTTATTTTTATTTATTTTGTTTTATCCATGTTGATTGCTCGTTGTGACCATACTGTGTTCTTGACATTAGGGTTTTTCTAAAAATATCTGATTTTGGCTTTTATAGGATACCAATCATCATCATTCATTAGCCATTCAATGCCTTTCACAAGTTCCTTTCTCTTTTTCTTCTTCTTCTATTCTCTTTTTTGTTTTTCTTTCTTCTCCGGTCACAGATTTTATTCATGTTTCATCTTTGTTTCCTAAGTGGTTGTTTTGTCTTTATCCCTTTCCTTATTATATTCAAGAAAAACATTGATTCATAGATATAGGACATACGGGATGATGCTTTCACCTCTGAAGAACGTCTTCCGTAAAAGAATTATTCCTTTATGTGCATTACTTTTTGAGATTATGGTCAGGCTTAGGATTCATATTTATATGCTTTCATTCAAAAGCTCTTTGAGTTATTTCCTTTTTTCTTGTTAGTTTTTTAAGGTTATTTTTCACTAATTTGATATATATCCGTCTTCGCTGAAATATCATAAAATCATTTCGGGGAAGCAGGGGACTGTGGAAAAATATAAGTGCTTCTAAGCTTTGTGTCTGATTCCAGTTGCTGCTGCAGCATTAGGATTAAGGAAAAATAGAGTAAGTGGGCTATCATTGGTTTGCTCTTGAGGGTGTTATTATGTCTTGTTTACATATTTAGTAGTTAGCCCAAAAAAGTCAAGTAAAATGAAATGGGAAGGCATTTTGTGGGGTATATGTTTAATTACTATTTTCACCTAGAATTTTTCTGTGTTTGGTGCAGGTGTTGTCTTGCATTTTCTAGAATTCATGACCTTAGGGAGTGTCCATTTAAACTAGTGGGAGAAATGTCTACGAAATTGGAATCTAGGCAAAGCACGCCTAGTGTCATTGCAAGATTGATGGGCCTTGATGAATTAACCCCTCAGCAGCCTGTCAAGAAACAGAAGAGAGTGCTCTCCGAGAATTACTTGCACAGAGTTGCATCTATAGGTGTCTGGGAGAAGCGTTCATCTCATAAACAACGATCATTTAGTTCGAGTGTCGAAGATCAAGAAGATTTTGAGCATGTATATGCAGTACAAGAAACACTAAAGAGGAAGAAGCATTACAAAGTATCAGTTGAAAAAATGAAAGCAAAACCAAGCTCACCAGAGCCAAAGATGGCATTTGAGAGCCAGAAGGTTATGGATGTGGATTCAATGTCAGTGGACATGGATGTTGAGACTTTAAAGAAAGCTCACGATCTATCTGAAGCGGATTTGAGAAAGGACCATTTTCAAAGTTATCTTCAGAAGCCAAGTTCTTTGATTTCTAAGCATCTTTGCGATCTACAAGGCGTCTCTCTTAACATGCAATCAAGGTATATACCATTAAACTCGTCAGCTTCTTCTCAATGTGGAAAGAGTGACATTTGCGTCAAAACTGGGTGGAGAATTGATTCAGGAAATCTTAAAATGCATCAGAAACCAGAGCATGCTCCTATAAAAGGTTCTCAAGGAGAGGATAGTCCTGATATCATTAATAGCGTGCCAAGATACCAAGATGAGTCAAAGATTGGATCATTCTCTCGCCGTTCAAGGATTGTTGTTCTGAAGCCAACTGCTGAGCGGTCAGAGTGTGTTCCTAGAGGGTCTTCTTTACTTCATACCTATCCAGATTCTTGTTCAGGTGATTGGAAAAACAAAGAGCTCTATGCTGAAAAACAAAACCCAGATTCTTATTTGACGAAGAAATTGGCTGATGAAATCAAATTTATCAAACAAATGGATAGTTTGTCAAGTGAAACCACAAAGCATTTTCCTAGATCGACAGAGCATGGGACAAGCAACAATTTCAAAAACACACCAAGTGAAAGAAACACAATAAAAGAGTCAAAATCCTTGATTGTCTCTTTTCCTTATTTGTCTCACATGAAGAATGGATATCAAGCCTCTTTTTGCAATTCAGATGGATTATGTCTCGACAAGGAAGCCAAGAAAAATATCTCAGAAAGATGGAAGACAACTCAAGGGTGTCAAGAAGTTGGATTAGCTACTGGAAGTAAGTTAAAAACTAGAACACTAGGTGAAATGCTTGCCTTGCCTGATAATGGCATGAGGCTTGGAAGTTCCCATTTCAAGCTTGGTGGGAAGAGCAATAATTTTTATACTGAAGATAGATCTATGAACTCTGGTACTTCTTTATGCATTAGCAGTAGGGATGGCCGCAAGGATGTTTGCTTCCGAAATTTAACAGTGGGATCTCCCTCAACCTATTCTACTGGCATTATGAGTCCAAAAGCTGGTATCAATCAGAGAACAGTAAAGACTCAAGAATCTGTCATTCAGGCACAGCCCAAGTTAAGAAAGTTCAGTTTCAGGAAGTTTCAGTATGTTCCTGGGTTGCATTCAGAAAATGTTCAATCAGTTAGAGGTAATCATGTGTTCCAAAACGAGCTAAAGAACGAATCTAAAGGGAAGCATTCATCAGGACAAAATTCTGTGCTTTCTATATCATCAAGTGATAGTGTTATTTGCTGTGGTTCAGAAAATACATCAACAAGAAGTGTTACCCCAGTCAAAATGACTACGAATATGGTGGCTGTCACAGAATCTGAGGTCATGGGCAGATACTTTGGAAATCATAAGGAGCAACAGTTGGCATCTATGGATATCACTCCATTGGTGGAAGATGATGCATCTTCTTATCATTCCCCAGAAGCTTCAGATCAACAGGTTTGATGTTTCTTATGGAAATCTTCAAATATCTACTAATGACCATTTAGTACCATACTTGCTCATATCATTTTGAATCTCCCATAGCATGTATCCATTAAATTTAGCCCACTTCGATAGGTCCTAATATGTTTGACATTAAAGTCCACATATTTCACTGGTTTGTGTCAAATGATATGGTATATGTTCCATGTGCATTACTATTTTATACTCCATGATTCATTAAAGTTTCTATCATCATAAATTAGACAATTTTCTAATTGTATCATGGGTAAGGTAGCATTGTAAAGATTTTAAGGCACTTAAACAACACTAGCATCTTCTTTTAGAATGCAGTCTACTTCCATTATATTTCATTTAGTATTTGTTGGTGATGTAAACTGCTGGTGGAAAATTTTTTATATTTGCAAAAACTTTTAATCTAGATCTTTGAAGGGAATGTATTGGAGGCAAATATGTGCTTGGGGTTTCTTATTTTGCTTTCTAGTTGGTTAACAAAGGTGGGGAGAGTTGTTGAGGGAAAGAACAAATAGGAGCTTGGCTCATCCAATGTCAACTCTGGTTGCATATGTGACTGTTATGTATAACAAGGTTATGCTGGAGCCTAAGATGATTCATATCAGATACTTATTATCTCATGCACTTAAATTCGAGAGACAGCATATTAACCGAGGAAATCCCAGCTACTTAGGCAGTCAGTTACTGGAGATACAAAAATTTTAATTATATGTTTTCTCACTTCAAATGTTGTCACTGCTTTGCAGGATTTGTTGAGCAGAATCTCTGATGAAGGTTCTGTTTCCTCAAATTTCTCTAGCACAGATTCTGAGTCCTCCTCGAAGTTGGAAGAGGCCTACCAGCCCAGTCCAGTTTCAGTACTTGTACCACCTTTTGAAGATGAGATCTCAGTAGGCTCTGAATGCTTCCAGGGTGTCAATTTGGATGGTAAGCTTCCTAAGAGGATTGCTTGTGATGTTCGTTATATTTGCTGAATTTCTGTAGTTGTAATTCTTATTGTGTATTATAGGTGTAAAATGGCGACTTGAAATTCTGAAATCAGAATCCTCAGAGACATTCTCAGAAGGATCCGGTATGATTGTGTCTAGTGATGATGAAGATATTGGGGAAACATCAACATGGGACTCAGAATGCAAAGAACACAAATGTGTAATTAAATTGTCTGAAGTTGAAAGCAGGGATTTCTCATATATAATCGAGGTCCTAACTGAGGCAGGTTTCAATGATGGGAACCAGGGATTTCATAAGTGGCACTCCTTGGAATGCCCTATAAATCCTAGAGTCTTTGAGAACCTAGAGAAGAAGTATGGTGAGCAAACATCATGGAAGAGGTCAGAAAGGAGGCTTTTGTTCGACCGGATAAATTTAGGACTGCTAGAGCTTCTACGGCCATGCATGGGCATGTCTACGTGGACGAAGCCTGTATCAAGAAGGCTCAAGCGAGGTCTGAAGGTAATTGACGAGCTTGGAATGTTGCTTGCGAATTCAGAAAAACAAGCAAAAGCAAACACATCCATGAATGCACTAGAGGGAAGGGGCAACAGTTGGTTAGAACTGGGAGATGAGATTGAGATAATTGGTAGGGAAATAGAGAATTCTTTGATTGATGAGCTAACAGCTGAGGTTGTTAGCAGTGAGAGTTTTTGAGTGATAGTTGTCTTTTGTTTTTCTTCTGATTCTTTGGCAGATAAATTTTTTATCATCGAAGTATAAAAGAGAGAGGAAGTAGTGTTTTTGTTGTCTGCTTCTTTGTTAGAATACTATAAGGATACATGAGAGAGAGTTGTACATAGGAAAAGTTTTGGTCTAGTTTGGTCGAGTGAGGTTTTCGATTTAGCGAGATATAAACATTCATCAAGTTTTGTTTCGATTTGTTGGTATGTGAAATACTACAATCTACGTGTTGGTGTGAAACATTTGAACATTGCGATAGCCAGTAGCTCCATGCCGGTTTTCTGATGCTTGAAGTCTTCTTTGTTGGACTTTACCATTTACTCTAGTTAATATCTTTTATATGTATAATTAAGTGATAAATATGAATCAAACACAAATAACAATTATATCATAAATTGAAGTTACTGAAAGTTTAGACAGGATGAATAAAAAATTGGAGCGTTTTGATTACTGAATATATTTCATTTGAGGAAGTTTGTCACCTGGGCATTTGGTCTAGTGGTATGATTCTCGCTTAGGGTGCGAGAGGTCCCGAGTTCAATTCTCGGAATGCCCCTTTGTTTTCACAACATATATTTTTAAACCCTAGTTTTCCTTTTACCCTAATCGTCCTTAGCGGGGAGCCGACTACCTTCACTGGTTTCTCTCTCACACGCTCCTCCCGCCTCCTTTCATTTTCATATTCAAATTCAAATCTTCTTCGCTTAGTAGCCGTGCAAGGCAACCTGCATTTCCCTTCGACGGGTCGGCGAGGTTCGGACAGCCAAATTACTCGTGGGTAAAACTTGTAACTTGATTTCTTTAAATCGACATTGTTATGTTCTATATTCTTGATTTAATCAACTAAATTTTGTAGAGATGTCAATTCACATATATTTATTAAGATAATATATGCAGAAAGACCTCCAAGAAATTTTCCCAGTTACTTTATAATCTTGTGTCTCATTTCTCTCGATGAATTCCTTAAATATCTTTAGGTTGCATTTGGTTCAATTCTCATTCAATTAGTACTCGCTATATATGTACATATATATAATACATATTTGCAGCGAGACCTCCAAGAAAATTTCTCAAATACTTCCTTTAAGAGATTGCTGTAAAAATGACCCAGAATTTTGTCTCACTTTCTGTTTGTGAATTCTCCCTCAATTTTCCTCAGTTGGATGTGGTTCAATACTTTTTGAATTCGTAGTTAACTACTAATTTTAATTTTTATATATTTGGAGAGTTCCAATTTTTATATTAGTCTAACATATATGTTCTTTGAGAGAGTTCTAATTCTAATATAGAAAAACTTCTAATTTTTTTTTCTCGTAATATTTATAATTAGAACATAATTTGTTGTTTTAAGTTATCGAGATCTCACATTAATCCTTTTGATGGTGTGATTTTTTTCCTAGTTTTAAAAGTTAAGGATTAAATTTTCATTATCAAGAAATTTAAGGAGGTGATAATATTCATGGAGAAGGTGTTAGTAACTCAAACACAATAAATTACATTCTGATCATATATTTTAAAACTTAACTAAGGAGACATGAATTTTCATTAAGTTTTTATTTTCTTGACAAGTTGTAAAATATTATTACAATAATTTTAAGGTGATTTGTAATTCTGAATTAAATTTTCTGGCCCATTCCTTTTAAGGTAGTTGTTTTCTTTCATCCTCCAATTGATTCTATTTCTGTTTTTAATCAGGATTACTTTGTCAATTCATCTTTTGACCAAAACATATCGATTTATATCGTCTTTTCCAACCAAAAAATGACTGGCACTGTTAAAAAATTAACATTGAGATTTGATTTGATCCAACAACCCACAATAAATTCTCATTCGGATGCTAGATGATTTTCCTGCTCTTATATAGCATACATTGGTTATTTGAATACATGCTTTCATACAATCTCAAACACACACAAAGACAACTATAGACTAAAGTAATCAGTTGCCAATCAATTAAGAGAGATAAATATTGAAATGCAGGATGGTATCCACACCGTCTGATGTATGCTGGTCTTCTTCGTGAAGTGTCTCAACTGTTGCATACCCATTAGCGTTCTCATACTTTCCGGTCCCACCGACGACTGCAATTTGTGATTCATGTGATGCTGTCCGATGAACTCCAAAGAAGCTAATAGTGTCTTCAACATCATGGTGATCATGATCACTATGTAACAATACTGTCAATGCAATGGTTTGGCTAGTACCATCTATGGAGCTGGCCAAGTAAAACCCCTGTGCTCTACCTATTATAGCTGATCCTAGTTCATGTCCTTCTGTCAACTCGTCATCGAACACGGTGATTGATCCAAACATAAGCCGTTGAAGGGTGGGTCCTGGTGGGAGTTGCCCACCAGTGACAAAAGGTTGGTTGTTACTATTGAAGATGTTGTTATTGCCAGCATTTTGTACTATAGTGTTGGGTTTTCCGCCATTTAAGCCCGTGAGTAACGGTGCAGTGTTTGGGTTTATGAGGTTGTTGATGTTGTTGAGGTTGAGAAGTGGGGATCCTCCACTGATGGGGAAAAAATTGTTGTTGGTCTTGGAGAAAGGTATGCCATTGATCTCAGTGTTTGCTATGATCCCAGTGACCACCCTAGCCGATGGGTTGGACGCACCTAAGATGTCATGCATGAAGAATGACAATGTCGAGTCTCGTGGTGGTCCAACAGGACCTGCCTCCGTACCTGAATTTGTCATCGTAGGTGATGTACTTGGCAGCATATTGGTGGTAGTAGTAGTGGTAGTAGCAACATTAGTAGGATTTGTTAGCGGTGATCCATTGCTTATAGGCGTTGCAACATCATCAATTGGTGGTGCCACGTCGGCGATTGGTGGTGTCACATCATCAATAGGTGATGCCACATCATCAACTGGTGGTTGTGTTTCATCGGTTGGCACAGTTGTAGTAGGTATTTGGCCACTTGGAAATGTACTGATGGTAGTAACAGGTGGTGTTGCCAGATTGGATTCTTCGTCAGGTGTATCAGCTATGACTTGTGGTTGATGTTCTATTTCATCAAGAAATCTTGCCGAATAGGCACACCCAAAGAGAAGGGATATGAAGAGGAAACAGAAGGCGGAGGTGCTAAATGCAAGAGCTTTAGCCATTAGGGTTTGTCAAATTTTTGTTGGCGCACAAGTGAGGAGACTTGATGTTTTCTGATGGAGAACATAGCGATCTTATGGGCACACACATATATATAGCTGGAAGAAGCTTTTGATACGAATGGAGTTGATGAAATGGAGTTGTTGGCTTGATACCATATTGATTTTGTTGGGTTTGGTGTTAGTTGGCAGGATCTAAACCCTTGTATATGTTGTTGATTAAGTAAGAAAATGGTATGATCATGTTTTATGTTTTACTTATCTAGTTTTTACTGTAAAGAATCAGCTATATAACTAAATAGGTATATATATATATATATATATATATATATATATAGATATCTTATCAAAATTTTGTGGTATACTTGGGTCTTTTGTAAAGGTTCAGGTATGATGACCATGAGAAAGCTACAATAAACAGTTTGTGCTTTTCA